GGTGCCTTCAGGGTTACCCCTGTAGTATTTCTGGGAATGACAAGTGCCTGAGAATTCAAACTCTTCAATAGACTGTTATGGTGTGTTACTGGAATGTTTCCCAGTGAGTCCTTCAGTGCGGACCTGTGTTCTCTGCACGTTTTGTGAGTTGAGAGTGTTGTTCACCGCGTATGAGTGACTTCGATCCGAAGTAGGTAGTCCAAACCGGGTTTCCTACGCTAGCAGCAAGCTAGTGGAAGTGTTGTACTTTTGAGAGACTTTCCCCTTGAAATCCTAAGCGGAGGTCTAGACCAACCTCCGAGTTGTGCTTTTCCAGTTTCAGGTGTGTGTGTTGAGTGACTTACGCTGCACTGTGCATCCTCCAAGTGACCTCCGAGTCGAGCATCCTCCGAGTGACCTCCGAGTAGCCTCCGAGTTGAGCACTTGCAGTATTTCTGGGAGTGACAGTCGCCTGAGAATTCAAACTCTCCAAAAGTCTGTTAAATGTGACACTTTGTACTCTGTGTGTTGCCTCTGTCCCTGTGGGTTCGATCTTTTTACCACCATACTGCAGTTTTAGCCTTTGGTGGGTTATTACACGTCAGCAGGAAGTTCCCGCTGCGCCGGGCCGGACTCGGCCAACACATGAGCTTTGCAGTCGGCCGAAGCAGAAAGCACGCAAGTTGGTGTTGCCGACAAGCAGTGCGGAGACAGGGCGTACTACGAGCAGGCGGAATGTCCTGCCCACGCAGGAAGAGATAGTAGCACAGATTTTGGGGAAGTCAGTGGACTCCTCTACGCAGAAGGCGCAGACGCCTTCGGAAGAAACAAGGCGTACTGCGAGTCGGACAGCTGCGGGTCGGCAAGATTCGCCGACTACGAGCAGGGTAAAACCGGCGAACACTGTGCGGACATCTTCGGCGGAAACACCTCCGGCGAAGACACCTTCCGCGCAGATCGAACCGGAGGAGCAAGCAGAGGAAGAAGGCGGTGCAGAGACGACAAGCGCGACTGCGGCACCAGCGCCTTCAACGACAGAAGATCGAGCCGGAGCGGACGCGCAGGCAGTGGGATCTCCCACTGCCTTGGACATTTTGGCAGGCAGTGGAGCGGCGGTCGCGGCAGAAGAAGCTACGCGGCCTAGTGCGGGAGAATCGCCGAGGGCTTCTGTAGCTACAGAGATCCTCGAGACCGAAGAGGAGACGAGCTCAGAGGAGAGGAGTCGGTGCAAGGAACGCCGACAGGTGTGTTGTGCAAACAGGTAGTACCGCTACTGCGGTACCTGGATCGCAAGATGGCGAAGTACGCTGATCGACGCCATCCGGGATCTTACATCGAGTTGATACGGAACCCGACCCGTACCAAAGTAGCGACGAACCCAGCGATGTATTCTCTGGATTTAAAGTGTCGAGATTTGTCAGAAAAGAATGACGCATTACGTCAGTCTCTGAAACTCTCACAGACGTTGCACAAGGACTTCACGGAGCTGGGGAGAACAAGTTAGCTGCTACGCAGAAGGAGTGCGAGAAGTTGGAAGCTGAGCTCCACTTCGAGCATGCTCAGATTCGCATTCTGACAGAGGAGTGTGTGCGTCAGACACAGGCGTTAGAGCGGTGTCAGCTTGCACGCCAGGCAGATGAGGAGTTATTGTGTCGACTGCAAGCGCAGTGCGACGAATTGAGGACACAGCGTGCGGAAGCGGAGCAGCAGTTGGCAGATCTTGAAGTCGATCGGCGGCGTGAGACCGATCGCATGCGAGAGGAGTTAGCTGCGCGGGCAAGTAGGTGCCTGCGGGGCTACGTCCAGTGGGAAGTGGCTGCGCAGGAGAGACTCACCTTGCGCGACCAGTCATGAGCTCACCCCGATGGATATAGAGAAAGTAATACTTGACGGCATCGTGCGAAGCTAAGACCACGCACCCTAGAGATTCTACCTACTTCATCGCGGGCACCTTTGACAACACCCATATCTGACCTTCTGGACTCTTTCCTAAAGGTTGCACGTAAAAGACGGGCCGAACTCTTGGCAGGACTGAGTTCAAATCCTTTGTAAGCCTTCTGGCGTTTTTATATATATTTATTTTGATAAAATAAATAAATATATTTATTTGCGACCGGTCATGTATGATTACCTCAGAAAGATCTGCAACCATTTGCAAAATGTATTAATTTTTTGCCGGCGAGTAACGGATGTTTAGAGGGAGCGTCCAATGACAATGGGCCATATGGAGTAGTCTTTACTAGCTAGTGACCTGAACTTATCTTAGATGAAGTATTTTTCTTACATGAAATTATTTTTACATATTCAATGATACCGGGCCATGTGGTTTGTGGTATAGCATTTACCAGCTATTGACCTACTTCAATCTCAAAGTTTTTTTTTTCCTCAACAGTTTATCATTATCACATTACATCATTTTTGCCTAAAGTAATGCATTTTAATTCTTACGGCGATTCCGGCGCTGGTGATGCTCGTTACGCTCCATGGAATTATCTCTAATCTTTATATGCCATTCAAATTCTGAATATCAGAAGCGGAAGATTCTCACTTGTCGCCACGGAGATGGATCTTATACAATTCATGAATTCAAAAGGGAATTCATTTACAAGCGTGAGGGAATCATACTCTTTATACTAGTTCAATAGGTGCTTGTTCATTAAGACCCATTAACTGTAATCAAATTACATAACATATAAATTATTACAATCATATATTTTATGAAAATTACAATATGTCTTACTCACTAGCAACTATTCCATAATAAAGTAGAGCACCTAATACCACCGAGTGCTACCACCTTCAGCTGCTATTGCAACTTCAATTTGTTTTGGTTTTTTAGAAATTAACTTCCTAATACTTTCTTGGGTTACAAACTCGTATGCTAAATTGGCTGATGCCCACAAATGTTTTTGGTGGTCTTTTTCTTTTTTATTAATTTACCACCACACGTTTTCTATAGAATTGACATCAAGAGAATTTGGTGGTCATTGAATAATTCTTTGTTCATCATTCGACACATAACTTCCAACATGCACAATACATACAATCTCACAAAGTTTGATCTATTGTTTTAAGAACAGCACATATACAATTTCTTTGACAATTTTTTACTCACAAAATCTCTTGGATGTCTGCAATTAATACACTCTCCAAGTTCTCGCATTTGTGAATACAATCAACTTCAAACTTCTTTTAAATCTCATGCTTTAGATTGGATGAAATCTCATACTTAATAGCAGCCTTTTGCAATGAAATTGAGCTTGATGGTTATTAAGTAAGCCAAGTGACAATGAGAGAAAAATACTGGATTTTCTTTAATTTGATAAAAAAGAAGATCATTATATTGGTTATACATAACAAACAACAATAACAAAACCAAAATTTTAATTCAAAATTAGACTATGCATGAGTTTCATGAGAGGTTGCAAGATTTTCTAGAGGCACAGTACAATTTCCTCAAGGTAATTCACGAATCTGCTTTTGGGGACACATTCCAGCCAACTTCAAAAACTCTCAAAATTTGTTATGCATTCAAACGATCTGATAGAAGAATAGTAAATTGCGTTGTAGTCATAATGGAGTGTACTACATTGCCAATACAAATGTTCAGGTATAGTGTAGAAAATATAGTAAGATATTACAAGCACTTCATTATCACTATCTACAAGCAAGTGTTTCCATCCGTTGCTTCAATATGAATGTTCATTCTAGCATGCTTATTTGGAATGAGCACACAAGGTTGAACTTGAAATACTTGGGCTCATATTTGATGGTTGCTTTGTATCAATTCTTCGTTATGCGGCAATTTGGAGCGAGTTTTTATTGAGTCTTGATATTAATAAACTTATACAAAAGCTTGTAGAAGCCCTCCTCACCGTTACAAATGCCGCTCTAAAATTTGAATAATGGTGGAAGACTGTTTGAATGATACCACGCATGTACTGGTCGCTAAGCTCAAGTTTGTTTACTACTCTTGCCAGTTAGAGAATGCATTATCAACCACTTTAAGTGCTAACTAAATTCTTATTGAAAAAACTCCTTCACGCCACAACATAAGAGCAAGGGATACAAATCACACATCAAGGACAAGGACAAGGTCAAGTATCTCAAGATCAACATTGTGTGCTCACTTATAATATGCACGCTAGAATGAACTATCATATTGAATTATCGGGTGGAATTACTTGCCTGTAGATAGTGTATGAAGTGTTTAAAATTTCTTACTGTAGTTTTTTAAATTATACGTGAACATCTGTAATGACAATGTAGTACACTCTATTGTGATTGCAATGCAATTTACGGTTCTTAAATCAGATCATTTTTTAATGGAAAAGGAATTTTCAAAGTTTTTGAAATTGGTTGGTAATGTGCCCCCAACAACAGAATTTACAAATCACCTTGAGGGGACTGTACAGTACAATGAACCCCAAGTAACTATCCTCCTAGCACAGTCTTGAGAAATTGTGGGATTTCCAGTGTGATATCATAAAAATTTGAAAATAAGAAATGGTAAGAAATGGTTTTATTGAATAGAATAAGAGTGGAGTAGTTTCGATTTATTGCCTAAATCTGCCCAAAACTTATTTTGCTCATAAGACATATCCGTTATGTCGTCATCAATATATTATACTGTCATTAAATTAAAGAAGACTTGACATTTGCTCATAATATCATTTGCTCACACTAGTGGAAAAGGTGTACAACTACACCAAAGAAGTACACGAAACTGTGTCCAATTACACCAAAAAAATTTAGATTTTGGTGTATGATAGATTGGGACAATTTACCTCAGGGTCTCATTATTTCCGAAGCATCCTAGTCAGGCATAGAAAGATCTCACTTCGCTATCTCTCCGGCCGCTGGTCCCATGAATAGACCATGCATAGTAAAGCATTTGCCCAGACTCTTGCTTGGTCTCTTTATGACCCACGAGTAAAGCATTTGCCCAGACTCTCTAACTTCAGCTACGAACTCTTTAAATTGGACTCCGATAGTCTACCTCTACACTCTCAATCCAACCTCACGATCCGATTGATCTGGAGTAGCTTGTGCACTTCGACCAACATGACCATGGAGGCATCAGCGTTGACACGGTTTGATTCTGCAGACCTGTATTCTGTCGCCATGACATTGTACATAGTTCAGTTTTCACATGGAGACTGCGAGATGCTATGGCATGTCTAAGTTCAACACTGTGCAGTATCCATTGGGCAACGTACATTGCTGAGGTTTCTCAGATTTTGTGTTCGCTGGTCGTGTAATGGTATGCTGATGTATAAATTATGTTACTCACTTTGGAGAATTTGTGATCAGATTGAAACTGTGCCTGGGGCTTCTGGCTGCGATAACCCATGTCGCTGCCGCCGCCACGAACAGTGCCGCCGTCAAATCTCTGGGAAGAATTGTCTACCTGCCCGATGTTAACCTGGTGAATGATCACAACTCCGATCCGCTGATTTTTGATCCTAATGACTTGAACATCATCGCCAGGACATCCAAGGAATCGTACACAGACATGAATACCAGGTTTTTCGAAAGCAGCGACAAGTTCAAGCAGTCGGTACTAATACAACTTCTGTCTACTCTAAATGATTGGTAGAGTATATGTTGAGGCAACTTTAGCACCAAGTCCATTGTCGTCACGACTGTCAAAATTCTATACTATACCATATTCCATTTGCAAACATATGTAGGGAGCTGAAAAGATGGCTTATCCCAATTTGTGTACAAATTGTATGTACATTCGCTCAACGTGGCTTTGTAATGGTGTCAGATTGCTACTGATATGGGACTGAGCGGAAGCTACCAGCAGATCGGCTTCAGTGTGAATGCAGCATTCAATCGAGTGTCAGGATCGGAGACTGAAGTGAAAGTGGCTGAAGTCCAAGCCGCGCGTTTACACAGCAAAACGTATCTACCCAGGGGCTCGGAGCTCAACAGCTTCCCTCTGAAAAAAGAATTCCTGCAAGATTTCCAGAATTTGCCCACTCAGGTGACGGATCCGCATGTGGATGTTTCATGGTCACCGTTCCGCAACTTCATGAACAAGTGGGGCTCGCACATCGTCCATGTAGCTTACACTGGAGCAGTTTACCAGAGCTTCAGTAGCTCCAAGTCCGAGAAAAATTACAGTCAGAGAGACATGGAGATTAAGGCGTGCGTGAAGGCCGAGGGAATCACGCGCAAGGCGTTGGAAGCCTGCGCCGGCTACAGCGAATCCGAGCGCGGGAAGCATCGAAGCTCACCACCACCGACACGAAGCGGGTGAAGGGTGGCAGCGCAGCTACACGCAGCCAATTGGCCAGCGGGCTCGCCACTCAAGAGCTACTGCAGGAGTTTCTGAGCCAAGACTCTGTGGGCGAGCAGCCCGTGCGATACGAATACCTTCCGGTCTGGGATTTTCTACTCGGCCGCTCGGCCAGTAACAGCGCTGACGCAAAGAGGGCTCTAGCACTGCAGGTATACACAGTAGTATACTCTCGAATTGATTGAATCCAATCAAGTCAAGTAATGTCACCCTGCTTGCGACCGAGACGGGATCTGACTTTGTACAATTGCATGCAGGCGTACTACGAGGGGTGGAAGGCGTTCACTTGCCCACTGGTGGTAACAACAGGCCAAACCAACAACAACGCACAGATGATGGTTGCAGAGTACACGAAAGAGAAGCAAGCTACGGGATACTACTTGTGCATCCGTCGCTGCAATGGCTGCCACAATTACAACGAAGACTGCCATTACGATTACAGCGGGTGCTGCCGCTCTTACGGCCGTCTGTGCTGAAACTCGACTCGAGCACAGGGTTCGTGACTCGCGCCGGGGACTGGGAATCGGGGTGGTGCGACTGGAACAATGGGTGCTACTACCAGGTCGGGTACGGATGCGTTTGCGGTAAGAGCAATGAGGAAAACGGATGCAACTACGACTACCCTCTCAACCCCAAGGACGCCACCTGGCTCAAGTACAAGATCCTCTGGAACCAGCACTCCTTGACCCTAAATTCCGATGACACTGCTGCTTACATCGCCGAGGCTTAGATCGATGTATCAACTGTCTACCTTGTCGATCACATGAGTTGATGATACATACGACATAGAATATATTCAGTGCTTGGCTGGCTCGTTACAAGCGACAGTTATCTCCTTTTCTGTGTTATCGTAATTTTGTGTATGTGTGTGAATGAGCTCAGCTCATTATGTTAAAATAAAGGCAGGCAATGGCCAGCACTGTAATAATGACGAGACTACTGTTTGTATTCTTGAGGATTGGGTGAATGATCAGGCTTTTAGCTTTTTGTTGTGTCCACCATGACCATTGAGAACGAAGCTCGCAAAGAGTAATATGGAAGCGTTTATTTCAATATTTTTCATGTACCTACAGCGAACGATCTTCAGTTTAGATCGATTGAAGTCTGAGAAGTATGGATGGCAGCTTCTAGACGAGAGTGTGCAATGGCTGGACAACGATCTTGGATTAGCTGGAAGCCTTAGTTACAAAAATACGAAATTGTTCATAGAATTCATACTCCATTACAAATAAATTTTTATATTTAGATAGAGTTTTTCTTCCCATGAATAAAAAGACCCTATAGTTTAGCTCACACAGATTTCTACTTTTCATATGATTACCTCTCTCCATTTCATTACTAAATATGTTCATCAAAAGCTTCATTGAACTTAAGAATTTATTGAAAAAAATTGCTGCAGACGATGGCCGAAATCCTCGTGGGCCTTCTTTCCACCCTTCCAGTCAAACATTAGTTTCCCACTCGAACGCGGAGATAGAGCTACTATTGATGTCGTCGAATTGAGGTGATTCACTTCAAAGTTCAATGACTGGTAACTCTCAAGTGCTGTTCCCACTGGATCTACATAAGAAGCAAACAAATTCTAAATTGTATAATCTGATTAAGCCACCTCTATTTGTGATTCTATTCTCGAAGGGGCGGCGGCGAGCAGTACGGCCTGTCAAGCTTGAGTTCTAAACACACAATCTGTTGTCATGTCTGAGGACATTCAGAGACCTTATACTGACACATACCTCTCTGCTTGATGAAGATTCATACTTTTTAGTTTGACGTACAAAATGACACAACAGCACCTCCCTCACTCCAGGACCAAGGGACGTTCCAACAAATCCACCTCACGTGGCTGATGCTCGAAAGCACCATACACAGATTCGCCCGCGAGATTCATCCGGAACTGGGTCCATTTCAACTAGTAACGAGCTCGAGTGAAAGATTACGAGCTTGAGTCGAAGAGGTCCAGACTGAAGCAATGCCGCGCATCATCATCTGCTTAATTGCAAGACAAAGCTGACGAGCATATTTGCTGGAGAACTATTCATTCCAAAGGACAACCCTGAATTTGTGTAATGAGCTGATTTGAATCGGTCCCGCTGAGAGACAGTGTAACGTGAGGTCAGGCAGCCCCATTTTGGTGAACATAAGCCAGCAACAGTTGTGCATCTGCATGCTTATTCGTATGACTTGCAGGAACACAGAGAATACTTCCGTGGAGAGTGCATGCAGATGCATAACTGAGGCATATAATATATTTTGTTGCGAATGGGTTGAAAAATAAACCGGTTTAGATTGTTGAAGACATCAATTGCAGACTCAACAAAGAAAAAAAATCCATATAACCTCAGAGCCGTGTTTGGACTCAAAACAGCATCAGATCTGATAACTCCCCTGCCTTGCTTGAAATTGGTGTAATAACTGCTATCGAATCTGTTACCACCCAAGGAGGGATCAAAGGGCACTCTGGTGGTAAAGTCTCCCGGTTTGCACACTTTTTTCAACACAGCAGCATACGTGGAGTTGAAGGTAGGATCCACGCCGTCCGATGATCCAGGAAAGTCGTATAATCTATTCAGGATGAATAGGCACCGAACTTTCCCAATAGTGTGGGCACCTGCAGGCAGACCACGCAAAATTTGATAAATTGCAGTTGAGAAATGTTTTTCTTGCTGAAAGCGTAGAGACTTTAGAAATGTTTGAGGACGATCAAGCGGACGGGACTTGAAGTCGCTTCTCATTCAATCCAAGCAGCATAACTCTTTCGGAGCAACAAACCTGATACGATAACCATCTCTCTCTCCGTGAAACCCTTATTTTTTGAACATGCTCACTAGTTGCGCGTAAGTGGCGTCAGGTGGTGGTAGATTTGTTAGAGTTTCACTAGCCAGAGATACAACTCCATCTTTGCGTCACAAAGGGACATTCTACCAAGGCCCACTAATCTGCACAAACCAGCTTCGTTACAGCTAAACTCTGCAGACTCGAGATTTCGCTGCAGAAAAGATGGGTAATAGAAACCGCGCGTACGAAAACACGTTCCGTTCCATCTTCCACTGGGACACGGGATGAGCATTTCCATCGTACTCAGCATTTCACAGGGCTAAATCTAAAATTTTCACTGAGGTGTGTAAATAACCGTGACCGTGTGTCAGAATACATGAATTTCTGCAGATTTTGGAACATGTATATGAGCTGTAACGCTACTACGACGTAGTCAGTGGAGATACTACATACCGCATTGACTGCGGATCGAGATGCTAAAGCAACAATGTCAGCGCATGACACTATTCCAGGGCACGCAGCCTCAAGCCTAGTCTTGGCTTCATCAATGATAGCATATACTCTCACAGAATTAATGTTCGGTATGCCATCCTTCTCAGCCACATTAGGAGGGCTGGATGTTGAATCAATAAGCAACGACGCATCGCAGCCCTGGGACTCGAATGTATGATCGTAGGAAGAGGTGAATTCGCTTCAATTTCACAACAACAAGAACTCCTCCTGTAGACAAGCTTTACCATGGGCACAGAATTTCTTACTACCCTATAACTGCACGATATGAAATACTTAGAATTTACATATTACAGCATGCGCCTCACAGTTCTTCAACATCACTCGCTGAAGAATAGCATTTTCGGTTTCATAATTTAAAATAAAAAAATTAAGAGGACCCAGTACTTACGAGTGACATGGTTTTCTCTTCAACTCAAGTCAGTGCAAACATCAGTCTTCGCTTTGATAGTCAAGATTATAAGTTACTTGTTGCAAAACTTAGATCTGAAACGAATTTCCTTCGTTCTCTTCTTGGAAATCTCTAAATCTTTCGAAAAAACGAACGCACTTTCGTCTTTTCGTTCTTCCCGGAAAGACTAGATGAGATGAATTGCACGTTCAAATCCTAATCTGAACTGGTTCAGTTCCGAAACTAATACTCTCCATCAATGTTCTGCATTTTGAAATTGATACACTTACTCGAACGAAGCAGTCGTGGAATTGCAGCCGGAGCAAGCCTGCTGCTACGGTGGGGTCCTTGAGGACTTTCGCCCAGACAAGGTCAGCGACGGTCTTAACAGCTGTAGGACAAGTATTGGCATAAAAATCAGCAGTGAGCTGAGCTTCGGTTGCTGCAGCTAAAACTGCTATCAGAACGACAATATACGGATATTGGGGAAGCCGATCTTCCACATTCTCCACCGAAATATATACAAGGTCGCCGCTGCAATTTCATGGTCCATCCAGTTCAGCATCTGTAAGTATATGGATCACAACATCCAAACTGCACCCCCTCGCTCCCATTCTACGCACCCGGAGTCATTACTTACACACGAAAATATGTACGGCGACATGAGATCACAACGAAGTGCACCTCCAACTATCTCGACCTTTGGGGAGTACGGATCGAGTTTGTAATCGGTGCTTGATACTCCTAAATGCTGAAATGTGCATGTATGCAACACCAAATGTTTTTCGGTTATACATCAATTATTTCTGAGAAAGCAATCGATATTCTTGTGATATCATCGGGATTATATTTTGAGCGGATCAGATACATGCGCATGCTGATGGAGATGGAAGATCTAATAAGCACATGCGTTCTGATTTATGAGATGATCGAGATACCACATTGAAAACGAGGTACAGTTGCGTTGGGTCGGGTGAAATGACTGGAACATATTGAAACTCTCGATGCAGTCGTTTAAAAATGCCTTGGCATGTTGCAGTATAGAGGAGTGTCCGGGTGTGGAGGTAAAAAGGGGCCAATAAGGTTAGGATCGGTGCCTCTTCTCTAGCTCTTACAAAAAGTTCAAGCAAACGATAGTTTTTTTTCATCTTACCAGATTGACAATGCAGTGATTCAAAAATCTCGAAATCGCTGCACACGATGGCCCAAATTCTCGTGGGCCTTCTTTCCACCCTTCCAGTCAACCAATTGTTTACCACTGGGCGCTGAGATATAGCTACAATTGATGTCTTCGGATTGAGGTGAATAACCTCAGAGTTCAATGACTTGTGAACTCTGAAGTGCTGTGACCACTGGATCTACATAAGAAGCAAGGAACTTCTAAATTGTTGATCTAAAGCACCCACCTCTTTTGGTAATTCTATTCTTGGAGGGGCGGCGGCGAGCAGTACGGCCTGTCTAGCTTGAGTTTTAAAGACACAATCTGTTGCCATGTCTGTGGACTTTCAGAGACTTTATACTACTGACCCATAGCTCTCTGCTCGATGAAGATTCATACTGTGCACTTTTACGTACAAAATGACACAAAAGCACCTCCCTCACTCCAACATCAATCGACGTTCCAACATATCCGCCTCACGTGGCTGATGCTGGAAGGCACCATGCACAGATTCGCCACGAGATTCATACAGAAGAACTGCGTTCGTTTCCACTGGTAACGAGCTCGAGTGAACGATTACGAGCTTGAGTCGAAGAGGTCGAGACTGCAGCGATGCCAGATATGCACCGCACCAGCTAAGCTACGCGCATCATCATCTGCTTAGATTGCAAAGGCAAAGCTGACGAGCATATTTGGTATTCTATTCATTCCAAAGGACAACCCTGAATTTGTGGAATGAGCTAAATTGAATCGGTTCCGCCGAGAGACATTGTAACGTGAGGTCAATCAGGCCACATTTTGATGAATATAACTCAGCTACAGCGTGCATGGCACAGAATTAATGTGCAAGCGGTTGTGCATCTGCACGCATATTCGTATGACGTGCAGGAACACAGAGAATGCTTCCATCTTCCACAGGCTAGAAGCTGCCATCCATACTTCTCAGACTTCAATCGATGTAAAATAAAGATAGTTCGCTGTAGGTACAAAATAGATATTGAAATAAACGCTTCCACAATATTTTTTGCAAACTTCGTTCTCAATGGTCATGGCGGACACAATAAAAAGCTAGAAGCTTGATCATTCACCCAATCTTCAAGAATACAAACAGTATTCTCGTCATTATTACAGTGCCGGCCATTGCCTGCCTTTCTTTTAACATAATGAGCTGAGCTCATTCACACACATACACACATCTACGATTACACAGAAAAGAAAATAACTGTGGCATTTAGCGAGCCAGCCAAGCACTGAATCATGTTCTATGCCGTATGTATCATCAACTCATGTGATCGACAAGATAGACAGTTGATACATCGATCTAAGCCTCGGCGATGGAAGCAGTAGTGTCATGGGGGTTGAAGGCCGAGTCGATGGAAGCAGCAGTGTCATGGGGGTTGAAGGCCGCTTCGTGCTGGGTCCAGAGGATATTGTACTTGAGCCAGGTGGCGTTCTGGGGATTGAGAGGGTAGACGTAGTTGCATCCGTTTTCGTCATTGCTATTAATGCAAACGCATCCGACAAAGACCTTGTAAATGCACCCATTGTCCCAGTCGCACCACCCCGAGTCTCGATACGTGGCGCGAGTCACGAACCCTGCGATCGAGTCGAGTTTCAGCACAGACGGGCCGTAAGAGCGGCAGCACGCTTTGCTTGATTTGTAGTGGCAGTCTTCTTTATAATTGTGGCAGCCAATGCAGCGACGGATGCACAAGTAGTATCCCGTAGCTTGCTTCTCTTTCGTGTACTCTGCAACCATCATCTGTGCGTTGTTGTTGGTTTGGCCTGTTGTTACCACCAGTGGGCAAGTGAACGCCTTCCACCCCTCGTAGTACGCCTGCATGCAATTGTACAAAGTCAGATCCCATCTCGGTCGTAAGCAGGGTGACATTACTTGACTTGATTGGATTCAATCAATTCGATAGTATACTACTGTATGTACCTGCAGTCCTAGAGCCCTCTTTGCGTCAGGGATGTTACTGAGTGAGCGGCCGAGTAGATAATCCCAGACCGGAAGGTATTCGTATCGCACGGGCTGCTCGCCCACAGAGTCTTGGCTCAGAAACTCCTGCAGTAGCTCTTGAGTGGCGAGCCCGCTGGCCAATTGGCTGCGTGTAGCTGCGCTGCCACCCTTCACCCGCTTCGTGTCGGTGGTGGTGAGCTTCGATGCTTCCCGTCGCTCGGATTCGCTGTAGCCGGCGCAGGCTTCCAACGCCTTGCCCGTGATTCCCTCGGCCTTCACGCACGCCTTAATCTCCATGTCTCTCTGACTGTAATTTTTCTCGGACTTGGAGCTACTGAAGCTCTGGTAAACTGCTCCAGTGTAAGCTACATGGACGATGTGCGAGCCCCACTTGTTCATGAAGTTGCGGAACGGTGACCATGAAACATCCACATGCGGATCCGTCACCTGAGTGGGCAAATTCTGGAAATCTTGCAGGAATTCTTTTTTCAGAGGGAAGCTGTTGAGCTCCGAGCCCCTGGGTAGATACGTTTTGCTGTGTAAACGCGCGGCTTGGACTTCAGCCACTTTCACTTCAGTCTCCGATCCTGACACTCGATTGAATGCTGCATTCACACTGAAGCTGATCTGCTGGTAGCTTCCTCTCAGTCCCATATCAGTAGCAATCTGACACCATTACAAAGCCACGTTGAGCGAATGTACATACAATTTGTACACAAACTGGGATAAGAAAACTTTTCAGCTCTCTACATATGTTTGCAAATGGAATATGGTATAGTATAGAATTTTGACAGTCGTGACGACAATGGACTTGGTGCTAAAGTTGCCTCAACATATACTCTACCAATCATTTAGAGTAGACAGAAGTTGTATTAGTACCGACTGCTTGAACTTGTCGCTGCTTTCGAAAAACCTGGTATTCATGTCTGTGTACGATTCCTCGGAGGTCCTGGCGATGATGTTCAAGTCATTAGGATCAAAAATCAGCGGATCGGAGTTGTGATCATTCACCAGGTTAACATCGGGCAGGTAGACAATTCTTCCCAGAGATTTGACGGCGGCACTGTTCGTGGCGGCGGCAGCGACATGGGTTATCGCAGCCAGAAGCCCCAGGCACAGTTTCAATCTGATCACAAATTCTCCAAAGTGAGTAACATAATTTATACATCAGCATACCATTGCACGACCAGCGAACACAAAATCTGAGAAACCTCAGCAATGTACGTTGCCAAATGGATACTGCATAGTGTTGCACTTAGACATGCCATAGCATCTCACAGTCTCCATGTGAAAACTGAACAATGTACATTGTCATGGCGACAGAATACAGGCCTGCAGAATCAAACCGTGTCATTGCTGATGCCTGCATGGTCATGTTGGTCGAAGTCCACAAGCTACTTTAGATCAATCGGATCGTGAGGTTAGATTGAGAGTGTGATCGGAGTCCAATATGAAGAGTTCGTAGCTGAAGTTCGAGAGTCTGGGCAAATGCTTTATACTCGTGGGTCATGAACATGCATGGGGCTCGGGGCTCGTCCCGTGGGCCAAAGATATTTGCGCGCCGCGCAAATATCTCCAACCCGCATCCTACTACGATGGTGCTCATCGTACGTAATGAAATATCTCGGTATGTCAGAGATTCCATAATGCTCTAGCGAGGAGAATGATGTTTTTCCAGCTTATAATAGTGTCCATCTTAAGAAATTTCTTATCAAAGAAGAGCATGGTCTATTCATGGGACCACCGGACGAGGAGATAAGTGAGGTAGCAAAGTGGGCTCTTTCTATGCCTGTGGCGCTTTGCGCTTGGGGCAATGACGTAGTTAGTGAGGTGAAACCGAGACACGTCAATTGTTGGTTGAAACTATCTCCTGACAAGCATCCTAGTGGTTTCCACGATAGCAAATTTCGTGAATTTCCTAGCATGGAATATTGAAAAAAACAAACTGGTTAAACTATTTCCTGACTGTTCATTGTACTGTACAGTCCCCTCAAGGTGATTTGTAAATTCTGCTTTTGGGGGCACATTGCCAACCAATTCCAAAAACTTTGAAAATTCCTTTCGCACTCAAAAATGATATGATTTAAGAACCGTAAATTGGATTGCAATCAAAATGGAGTGTACTACATTTTCAATAAAGATCTTCATCTATAATTTGGAAAAAGGATAATTTCAAATACTTCATACACTATCTACAGGCAAGTAATCCCACCCATTAATTCAGTAGGAGTGTTTATTCTAGCATGCATATCATAAATGACCACACAATGTTGATCTTGAGATACTTGATCTTGTCCTTGTCCTTGATGTTTGATTTGTATCACTTGCTCTTATGTTGTGGCGTGAAGTAGTTTTCTCAATAAGAATTTAGGTATCATTGAAACTTTCCTGCACCATTATTAAAATTCTAGAGCGGCATTTGAAATGGTGAGGAGGGCTTTTACAAGCTTTGATGTAAATTTATTACTATCAAGACTCAATAAACTCCGGCTCCAAATTGCGGCAGAAAGAAGAGTGATACAAAGCAACCAACAAAGATGAGCCCAAGGACTTCAAGATCAACCTTGTGTGCACATTCCAAATAAGCATGCTAAAATGTACGTTCATATTGAAGCAATGGATGGAAACCCTTGCTTGTAGACAGTGTATGAAGTGTTTGTGATTTCTTACTATATTTTCTATGATATACCTGAACACTTTTATTGGCAATGTAGTACATTCCATTGTGACTACAACGCAATTTACTGTTTTTCAGTCAGATCATATTTGAATGCATAAACACATTTTCAAAGTTTTTGAAGTTGATTGAAATTTGTCCCTAAAAGTAGAATCCGTGAACTAACTCAAGGGAATATTACTGTGCAGTACCCTCTAGAAAATCTTAAAACCTCTCATGAAACTCTTGCATAGTGTACCTTTGATTGAAAATTAAGGTGTTTGTTGTTGTTGTTGTTGTTTGTTGTGAAAAGTTAATATAATGATTTTTTTTGAACTCAAATTACATAAAATCCAGTACTATTTTGTGATTGACACCTGGCTTCTTAATGAGTGTCGGAAATTACTAATGGGAAGGGTTTAGGCGAGTTCGGCGACGGACGCCTTCGGCGGTAGCAGGCCTTCTGCGGAAGGGCCTTCGGGGCAAGGGCCTTCGGCAGTAGCAGGCCTTCAGGGCAACGCCTTCGGCGGAGGAGTAAAACCGTCATAACTTTCTCAATTCGTAACGCCTTGACTCAATTAGGGTCTCGTTGGAAAGACCTCAACCCGCTTGTTCCAACGAGCTCAAGAACTCTTGAAACAGATGAGTCATCACTAAGTTATGAGTGTCGTAAATTACTAATGGGAAGGGTTTAGGCGAGTTCGGCAACGGACGCCTTCGGCGGTAGCAGGCCTTCTGCGGAAGGGCCTTCGGGGCAAGGGAATTCGGCAGTAGCAGGCCTTCGGGGCAACGCCTTCGGCGGAGGGGTAAAACCGTCATAACTTTCTCAATTCGTAACGCCTTAACTCAATTAGGGTCTCGTTAGAAAGAACTCAACACGCTTGTTCCAACGAGCTCAAGAACTCTTGAAACAGATGAGTCATCACTAAGTTAAGAGCGTCAAAAGCGGCTGATATGGTTAGGCCAAAGGACTTCGGCGATAGCAGGCCTTCAGCGATAACAGATAGAGGGGCCTTCGGCGATAACAGATAGCGGGCCTTCGGCGAAACAGTAAAACCGGTATATCTTTTTTAATTCTTAACGGTTTGACTTAGTTGGGGGCTCGTTGGAAAGAGCTCAACACCTAGAGCATTATCCATAAGATAAGATCTCATGAACATTCCTGCAATATAATCAGAAACATGAAAATGGGATAAATGGTTGGAAAGAGCTTGACGCGCTCGTTCTAACGAGCCCAAGAACTCTTGGAACGGATAAGAGATCAATGAGTTATAAGTGTCGGAAGTTTCTGATAGGGAGCGCCTTCGGGTCAAGCGACTTCGGGTCAACGCCTTTAGGGATACGCCTTCGGCGATGCGGGAGAGTGACTTCGGCGGAAAAGTGAATCCCTTATAACATTCTCAATTCATAAATCCTTGACTTGGTTGGGGTCTCGTTGGAAAGAGCTCGACACGCTCGTTCTAACGAACCCAAGAACTTGTGAAACGGATGAGAGTTCACTGAGTTATGAGTGTAGAAAGTTACTGATAGGGAGCGACTTCGGGTCAAGCAACTTCGGGTCAACGCTTGCGGCGATGCGGGAGAGTGCCTTCGGCGGAAGCATGAATACCTCATAACTTTGTCAATTCGTAACGCCTTGACTCACTTAGGATCTTGTAGGAAAGAGCTCGACATGTTCTTTCTAACTAGCCCAAGAACTCTTGAAACGGTTAAGAGATCACTAAGTTATGAGTGTCGGAAGTTACTCATAGGGAGCGCCTTCGGGTCAAGCGATTTTGGGTCAACGCTTTTGGGTCAAGCGACTTCGGGTCAACGTCTTCGGGGGTGCGCCTTCGGGGATACACCTTCGGCGATGCGAGAGAGTGCCTTCGGCGGAAGACTGAATTCCTCATAACTTTCTAAGTTCGTAACGCCTTGACTTGGTTAGGATTTCATTGGAAAGAACTCGACGCGCTCGTTCTAACGAGCCCAAGGACTCTTGGAACAGAAAAGGGATCACTGAGTTACGAGTGTCGAAAGTGACTGATATGGAGTGCCTTCGGCGGAAGAGTTCCTTCGGCGTCACGTGGCAGAAGATTCTCGATGGCAGAAGTTGGCAGGCTTATGTCAAGTGTGGGAAGCAGAACGGCGGGGCGTGAAGTCGCACGTGAGAAGCGGGCCGTTACCCATAATCGCGGGAACGGCATTCAAGCGGCATGTGGGTCCCCCGGACCTCGAATTTTGGAGAAGGAATTTTGGCCTAGGTTCAGAGATCTTGCGGGGCCCATATCTTTGCGATGGACGGTCGGATGGACCTAAAATTTGGTGGGGCCGTTGGTCTGAGCCCGCCACGCATGCCTGCAAATTTTCAGCCGCAGATCTTGGGTCTAAAGCTGTTAAAGACGCTGGCGGCTATGTATAGTAGGCTTAGGATTCAGATTAAGGGTTAGGGTTAGATTTAGGTTGTAAGTTAGAGGGGAAGGCAGCCGCCGACTCCTCAGGTGTAGGATCTGTTGCGGCTCGCACCATAGTAGGTAGAGTAGTGTTAGTTAGGATGTTAGAAGGTATAAAGTAGTTCAAGGCTTCTTGCCTTGGGATTCTTCCAGTTTCGGAAGTGCAGATCAAGAACTCATTTTCTCTACGTGTTTGTGTCCTTAAATCTGTCACCGCGCAAGAGTAGCTACAGCTTGACGAAGATACCGCATTTTGTAGCTGAAGACTTTCGGCCGAATGTTCAGAGCTAGTGTACTGGTTAGATACTTGAGCAGTTTGGATCTACACTTGCGGGTGATTGCTGAATGCTCAGAGCTAGTAACTGGTTAGATACTTGAGCAGTTCGTCCTTACACCTTCGGGTGATTGTTCCTGTTTGTACTCTTTCGGGATGTTTCCTCTGAATGCCAAAGTGAAGTTTTGTTACTTCAAGTAAGCCTTGGTTGTAAATTCAGGTTACGCTGTAGAAGGCGCACTCGGGGCAAACCTCTGCAGTATTTTTGGGAATGACTAGTGCCTAAGAATTCAAACTCGTCAATAGACTGTTATGGTGTGCCATTGGATCTTTTCTCAGTTGAGTTTCTCAGTTCGGACCTGTATTCTCTGCGCGTTTTGTGAGTTGAGAGTGTTGTTCACCTCGTGTGAGTGACTTCGGGTTGACGAAGATATCGTATCCGAAGTAGGAAGTCCAACCCGGGTGCCCTGCGCTAGCGGAAACTAGTGGAAAGGTTGTAAAAGCCGGAGTTGGGAGTCACTACCTGCAGAGCCTCTAAATGTACTCGTGAGAGCTTTTCCCCCTGAAATCTTAAGTAGAGGTCCTAACCGACCTCTGAGTTGTGTTTCTATAGTTTCAGGTGTGTGTTGGAGTGAACTATGCTACACTGTGCGTCCTCCGAGTGACCTCCGAGTTGAGCACTGCAGTATTTTTGGGAGTGACAGTCGCCTGAGAATTCAAACTCTTCAATAGTCTATTAAAACGTGACACTTTGTACTCTGTGTGTTACCTCTATCCCTGTGGGTTCAACCTTTTTGCTGCTATACTGCAGTTTTAGCCTTTGGTGGATTATTACAATCACGAGTCTTATCTATCCAATCAAATTGTTCAAAGAAATAACTGAGCAAGTGATCATGAAACTGTTGTACCTTAGGAAAAAGTCAATATACTTGACAGCAAGGATCACGTTGGCCAAAGAGAATCGTACTTTGAAAATTGGTCATGTTGAGCAAAAAACAATATTCAAATGTGAAAATCACAAGAAAATTTGAATAGGATAGTTTTTTTTACTAATAATTGATTCTTGGTAAGACGTGGCACATAAAGAATAGGTTTGATCTCTTTATTTGAATCAACTCGCAAAGTTCCTATGCCAATAATAGGTAAATGAGTTCCACTAGCTGTAGACACTCCAGAGTGAGAGTATTCTGATTGGTATGAGCTAAGCCTAGACTTTTTACGTGTCACATGGCTACTAGCACAAGAATCTAACAAGTGTTCTCTAGATTTGTGTAAAGCCAAAGCTTCTAGCTCTATAGACTCACTTTCTAAACCCTCTTCTAGTCCATCGTTGCAATTGTCTACCAAGTTAGCTTGCACCTTAACTCGACGCATGTTAGAAGCATACAG